CAACTGCAGGGGAGGGAAGGGGGATCTGGAGCTTGAGGGAGACAAACTTTTGACCACATGCCTTCCTATAATGGTTTCTTTTTGTAAGAATACCACATTTTCAGGTTAAAAAATAAAAACAAGTATTTAAATTTTTTCCTTATAAAAATTTTAAAGACCTTTTCCACCCTAAATCAGTTTCCTAAATTCTAACACATTACTGCTTAAATATCAACAAACTATGTATCTATCACAGAGAAAATTAACTTCCAATTACTATTTGTTTTTGAAAAATGTTGAAATAAGCTTAATTGTTTCTTTGGTTTAAAACAGATTTTTTTTTTCCATCTAAAGACCTGGCAGCAGGAGGCGGCGGGTCCTCCTGTCTTTATCCCCCAGCCCCGCACCTGCAGGGCCGCATGGTACTTACAGGCAGACTCATCCACACACTCCCGGCTCCGCCTGTTCCTCTCCACGATCCAGTCCCACAGGGAGAGCTCACACAGCTGCATCTGGATGTGCAGCATCAGGTGGTATTGCATCTAGGGGGCGACACAACACTGGTCCCATCTCTGTACCACTTACATTACTCATTTAGCCAACAAATACTCACTTGTCTACTCTAGGCCAAGCACTGGCCTGAGTGATGAAAATAAAGGTGACACATAGGCCTGCCCACGATGCCCAAAGTCTAGTGAAGGAGCTGGAGAAGGAAAGCAATACTTAAAACTGTGTGTCATATTCCCAGTGGGCAGGGGCCGGCCTGCTGGAGTTAGGCAGTGTCAAAAGGGAGAAGCTCTCAGATGTGACACAGGCATTGAAACTGTTTGGTCGGCTCTCTACATAAAGTTTTGAAAGCTAAAATCCTATATAATAAAAGGCTAATATGCAAATTGTTCCCTCGGGAGTTCAACCGACCAGGGGTTCGACCACTTGCTATGATGTGCACTGACCACTAGGGGGTGGTGCGGAATGAAGGAAGGCCCCAGCCGGCAGCTGGCAGCAGGGGGAAGGAAAGCCCCGGCTGGCGACCCTTATCGCCGGCCAGGCCTAGGGACCCTACCTGTGCACGAATTTTGTGCAGTGGGCCCCTCTAGTCAAGTATAAAAGGACAGCTATATGCTATCTGCTCCTGTGTGTATACCCCACAGTATACAGACAGTTTGGTTGGCTTCACATTGTACATAAAAAATCACATGCACACGGCCACGTGTTCCTGGACAATAAGAGTTAATTCTGCGTGTGTATACACAGCTTTGTAATCTAATATGACCAGTTATGTGCAGACCCTGTTAATCTTCAAGTTTCTTAACACTAATACTTGACACTGGAGCGAGTACGTTGGAGTCTCACCAGCGCATCAGTGTAGCCCTCAACAAGAGTCGCCTGAAACATGACCTGGTAATCCTACTCGGACTCTCTGAAAGCCATGTTCCAAATGTAGAAAATCTTTCTGCATATATATTTATAACCCAGTGTTAACATACAAGAGAAACAGACTGTGCACCATGCTTCCCACTCCAAGGAACATATATGATCTAGAGGAAGGAATGACCCAGAAAAGGGCAAGTTAACTAAGGGAAGGTGTGAAGTTCAAATACACAGGGAATGTGGACAGAAGAGACTGAACACAGGACAGCAGGGCTAAGCAGAGAGGGAGGAACAACAGGTGGGAAGCCAGCTGAGGAAGAGGGGCGGCCATCTAATCGCAGTCCCCTGTACAATTATTATGAGTAAACAGGAATCTACCTCTGTCTGTCCCACCATGTTTAAGTTTTCTTCAGACGATTCCTCAGTGGATGTGAAATTCCCCTCCAAGTCTGAATTAAGCCTAAGTGGCAGCTGATTGTCAGCCATCGATCTGGAAGACAACTCAGCCAGGCCATTTTCTTGGAGCTCAATGGATAATTCAAATCCACTGGCATCTCTTGTGACTAGATTGGGGGTATAGTTCACCAATTTGTTATTCTGATTTTCAATGCCAGACTCTCCTAAGAGTTTTTCTTTTTCTGAGGTCAACTCGGCGAAGATAATGGATGAGCTGTTACTTTCATCATTTTTAACATCATATTGATCTCTGGAGGGGAAAAAACAGTAAAAATAATAATTAATAATCAATGTAAAAAAAATATCAAGAGTAACTCGACTGTTCCTTCAGGCCTATGTAATTCTTACTGGTAAAGCCCTGGGGGGGGGGGGGGGGGAGACATCAAATCTACCTAGCAACTACGTTTATTTAAAATTCTGACAGGAAATATCTAAGGGGAGGAAATAATTTAACATTTCATAATGAAAATAAGCAAAAACGAAGTCTAAAACATTCCTGAACTCCTAACAGCAAAAGACAAAGGCAACCCAATGCAGGTGACAGGTTATGTCAACCTGCAAAGGCTACAGCAGTGCACATACCTGTCGCCCGCCTGGGCGGAGATCACTTTCAGAGATGGCAACTGAACAGAAATTCTATCTGCTGAATAAAAACAGAAACAAACCCTTAAGCAGCCCAATTTCCTAATTCATAGTGAAATGCAGAGCTAAAGTATACAAATAATGCCAAATGAAACAACCTATCTAAAAACATCATGACTGCCCTGACCGGTTTGGCTCAGTGGATGGAGCGTTGGCCTCGGACTGAAGGGTCCTGGGTTTGATTCCGGTCAAGGGCATGTACCGAGGTTGCAGGTTTGATCCCTGGCCACCAGGTGGGGTTCGTGCGGAAGGCAACCAATCAATGTATCTCTCTCATATCGTTGTTTCTCTCTCTGTCTCTCCCCCTCCCTTCCACTCTCTAAAAGTCAATGGAAAAAATATCCTCGGGTGAGGATTAACAAAAAATAAAATAAAAATGTCATGATCTTCTGGCAAAGTACAATACAAGCTTATTCAAACGACTGGCACATACAAGGAACTATAAAACAGCTGAGGGGTCAGCAAACTCTGTGCAGGACCTGATCGACAGGTCAGGTTTCCGGCCCGGAGACTCCCTGCAGCTACTCAACTCCGCTGTGTGGACAAAAGCAGCCACAGACAATACCTACAGATGAGCCCGTGTTCTAATAAACTGTATTTACTGACACTGAAATGAGGAATTTCATATAATTTTCACAAAAGAGTCTTCTTTTTGTGCCTTTTAATATTTTTTAAAATGTGAAAAACATAAAAGAATGAGCTTTGCCGGCCTTCAACTCTATCTAATCTGCAACTGCTTACCGTGCGTTTGGGCCACGTGAACATGCTCAATCCAAGCAGTGTGATAGCCCACAATGTTAGGGT